CAGGGCGGGCGGGCTCTCGCCGTGGGACTGCGGCGGCCTGAACCGGCGCCCCCGGCGAAAGGAGCAGGAGCGCTTCCTTCGCTGTGTAAAAGTCTTGACTGATGCCCAGATGTTAATTTAATGATTGGCCTTGAGCCGTGAGACGTGTCTGAATGGGTCTGGACATGGCTGGGTGGTTGGTCGTGTCAGGGATTTGATAGTCGGATTAATTGGCCAGAGACGGTGTCCAGATCCACCACTGATCCAGAAGTCACCGTGAATCATAGAATCACAGACTGGTTTGGGTTGGAAGGGACCTTAAAGACCATCCAGTTCCAACCCCCTGCCCTGGGCAGGGACACTTTCCACTAGACCAGGTTGCTCCAAGCCTCATCCAGCCTGGCCTTGGACACTTCCAGGGATGGGGCATCCACAGCTTCTCTGGGCAACCTGTCCCAGTGCTTCCCCACTCTCTATTGTGCTTCTGCGTAGCTTACGGGATTTGAGAGAACGCAGCGAAACTGCAGTTGGCTTTCAGCTGGCTGAAAGTCTGGGATAGCATCTGAGATCAAGGTTTTGTTTCCAGTTGTACCGAGCCCTCTGAATGCCTTTACAGAACTGACACGTGAATTATGAAGTTTAAGTCATTTATAGGAGCTGCTGATAAAAGTTGAATTTATTTTTCAGCTTCCTGACGGAGTAAATATTTCCAAAGAAGCTCGGAGCGCGATATCTCGAGCGGCAAGTGTGTTTGTGCTTTATGCAACATCGTGGTAAGAATTTGTTGAGTCAAATAACCGGTGCAGTTGACCTATAATTCACCTCTCTGCTGGCTGGCTGGAAATTTTTTTGCCAGTGTTTGTTTTGGTACTGCGTGTTAACATAAATAAAACAATCTTTGGAGCAGCCTAGTCTACCAGACTGCAGCAGCTGTGTTGGGACTGCCCTTAGCAACCCATGAGGAAGGCAGCTTGGCTCTGTACCCAGAGATGCCCCAACCCCACCAGGCCAAGGGGGGTCCCAAACTGCCATCAGCCTTAGAATGTGGCTCTGTGGCTTTTCCTGGCAAAGGCAGGAGCTGTTTGCTCACTTTCCAAGCTACTTGCCACATGGCTGCATTAGGGCAAGCGTGAGCCAAATTAAATCAGCCTTGTAGCTGGTATGGGGGGCACAGTAACATCTTTGGGGTGGCTCAGAACATGCTGTGCAGACAGTCACTTAACTCTGGTGCACGATTTTGTGGAATTGTCACCCTACAGCCAATGTTCAGACTTTCTGCTTCCCATGGTTGTAGAAGAGGGCCATGCAAGCAGGAAACAAATGTTGTGGGAAAGCAAGTCTCGTAGATGAAAGCACAGCCAGCCAATAGAAACAACAAGCTATCTTAAGCTACTGATAGTAAGTGATTTTAAGAAAACCTGAATGTTTAGGAGCTTGCTTCTTTTTTTTTTTTAAGTTGCTTGTGACTTTAATAAGACTAAATCGATGACAGTACCAATTTTCCTTCTTGTTTTTGACTAGTGCAAATAACTTTGCCATGAAGGGGAAGAGGAAAACGCTGAATGCTGGCGATGTTCTCTCTGCCATGGAGGAAATGGAGTTTCAGCGATTTGTAGCCCCTTTGAAAGAATCACTGGAAGGTATCGTCCTCAGTTCACGTTGAGGGAGTATAAGCAGCACCAAGTCCTGTTTTCCTCGAACACTGGACAAGCAACACTTACTTGCCTGTCTTGTTTCTCTTCTCTTTGCCCAGCAGCCTACACTGCAGTTTGCCTGGGGAATAAATAATGTGCACCTTAACAGGACTGGGATAACACTATTTCACAACTGATGAGGATTGAGAAAGTCTCATCTGCTATCAGTCCCCTATTATGTTTCTCTAAGGAAAGCCTTAGGTGCTGCCTGTAAATGTGAACTCCTGCGTCCTTTTCAGCACTTTTCTGCTGAAACTTAACCTGATTTCCCATGGAGCTGGTCAGCACAGCTCAAACAGTGGGGTGAGTTGCTGCTATGAGTTCACTGCTTGCCTTGCCTGGGAGCAAGTGGACGTTGGACTTCAGCTGCTGTATCGTTCATGCTGTGGAAACGTTGGCTTCCAAGTTTTCAGCGTCGTCTCTTTCCTTTTTAGTTTACAGGCGTGAACAGAAAGGAAAGAAAGAAGCAAGGAAAGATAAAGACAAGAAGGCAGACTCAGAGGAGCAAGATAAGAGCCGAGAGGAAGAGAATGATGATGATGACGAAAGGATGGAGGAAGACGAGCAAAATGATGAGGAAGAGGTGGACAACTGAGCTGGGTGATGAGATGTGTGCAGGGGTTGGGTGTTGCTCAGAGGGTTATAAACGCTGTAAATCACCCTTGCTGTGTCCCCTCTTGTTTCCAGTAGAGCTTTGTCCTGTCCCTCTGGAGCCCATCCCTTTTTGGCTTTAACCTGTACATAAAGGACTTCTGCTTCAGCTTTTCTCATGGAAGGACCACTCCTCCCCGTGCGCGGGGGCTTGGCACCCTCCCCGTGTTGTGAACGGGCAGTGGACGGACTGAGCTTTTTATGCTGGGTTGGTTGACTCTGAAATAGAGGAAGAAAGAAATGTGGGATGTTCAGTGCAGAAGCTATCCAGGAGAACTTGGGAGACTGCTGAATAAGCTTGTTAAACCAAGTCTGGGGCTGAATCAAATGCATCATTAACCCTTTGGGGTTTAGAATCTACAGGATGATGTCAGGAGGCTTGGAAGCTGAATGTTTAAGCTTTTTATCTAAGTGACTTTTTTTTTTTTCTTTCATTTCCTTGCCTTCTGGCTGTGCCTTCCAGCTGTAACTGTGGCAGCGATCAGGTGTCTTTCAACCTTACCTGTCGTGTGCAGCGATACAGTACAACTGTACAAGGACTAGTGTCTACTCAGCTGACTCTCCCCCAAATCAACATAAGTCATTAAACTCCACAGCACTTAAAATGTAAACGAAATACCAGAAGTGCATGTTTTGTCTCTGTAAAGCCCTGGGAGACCAAGAGGAATTTTATTAAAAATCTGAAACTAAATTAATGGCTAAAATGTGTATCAGGATGAAAACGGGTCTCTATGAAGAGGCACCAGTGGCTCAGATGGACTCCCCTCCTCTGCAGAGCCACAGTTCCTGCAGGCAGGGTGGTGACTGCCGCGGGTTTAAATGTGGAAGAATAGAGTGATGGAGCTTGGTGGGGATTTTTCCAGTTGAAATGGACTAAGTACATCAGAGGCCACTCTTCAGCCTTCCAGAGTCATTGCAGAGCTGCAGCTCCAGGAGGGCAGCGAGGGCAGGACATTCCTTAGGAAGGAAAGCCTCAGGCCTGTTGTTTTAAAGTATCTCCTTCAAGGAAGATGGGTTGAAACAAGCTGTGCTCGGACAGGTTTGTTCTTTCATGCTGGACCTGTTAGTTTTGATGCCTCTCCCTTCTCCACAAAGTATCTGTTGGAATAAGCTCTTTTTTGGGAAAAAATGCTTTCTTATTTGACTGATCTTTTGGAAGATGGATAAACCCAATATTTGAGCTTAACCAAGGTCTGCTGAAGGAAACCCTAGAGAAGTTTTAGGTATGTTTACAGAAAACCCATGAGTTTCGCTGGTGTGCAGTTTTAAACTAGCACTTCTAAGGAACAGTATGTCATTTTCACCAAAACCTGGAGCAGACCTACCCACAGCGCCACCCTGCCCTCATGCTTTCACAGCACGGTGGCTTTTCACGCACAGAACCCCAACTCCTGAAAAGAACTGGATCAACAAAGATTTTCTGCTGGCTAGTTCCTGCTGGCATACGGTCAGTAACAGGACGGAGTTGACAGAGATCAACAACAAAGGCCTGCCTTCTACTTCTTTTTCCTCTTTTTTTTCCTCTTTTTCCTCTCCTAGCACATACCTGGGGTGCATATTCTGGAAGGGAACATCTCAATAAAAGATTTTTTTACGGAAATGGAGTCTCTTACTTCTGTCAGTGCCAAAAGGAGCTGGTTGTGGTTGTGGAAGTGTGCATCCGAGCGCGCAGCAAAGGCAGAAGCAACTTGCTGTGAAGTTGTTCCCGGAGCAGCTGCCGGCAAGGGGAGGATGAAGGCTGCTGGAACCGGCCTTTGCACGGGGAGGAGCGAGGGAAGTGCAGAGGCTCCAAATTACTGGATTTGTTTCCAGTTATCAGGGAAGTGAGGTTTGGGTGCTGGTGGGTGTGTCCCTGGGGGAAGCAGCCATCAGCTGCCCTTGCTCCTGGTGAGGCACCACAGGGAGGAAGGGCAGGGGGTTTATCGGGCCAAGGAGAGGGGGGTATCACGTGGGAGCTGCACAACACCGTCAGACTGTCTATGTGAGTAAGTCCCTTTTTGGGGAAAAAGGCTTTATTAGTTGACTGATGTTTCTGAAGACTAATAAACCTGATCCCTGCATCTGCTGTGCTCTGATGAGATGTAGAAAACAGCATGTGCTGCCAGGCCTGCAGCATGGCCCCTGCCTCCTTTAGCCCAGCTGCCCCGCCCCCAGCACCCCAAAGCCCTGCTCAGGACCCTGCCCGTACCCCAAAACCCTACCCTGGATGTCCCCAGCACTCCAAAGCCCTGCTCGATCCTCCCCCAACACCCCAAAACCTGGCTCCAGGTCCTCCTGAGGTCCGTACCCCAAAACCCATCTGCATGGTCCCACAGCACCCTAAAGCCGTGCTCCAGTCTCCGCAGCATCCCAAAGCCCTACTCCATACCCCACAGCCCCCCAACCTCGGCTCCTTCTCCCCAACAACC